CTGTGGCCACTGCTCATAATGATGAAAAAAGTCCTCTTTTTTTGCTGCTAATGTGTTTTCTGAACAAATTATACACACTGAAAATTTCAGTGCTGGTTATCTGCTGACGACTACACTCAAGGAGGGAATCTGGATGTTATGTGGCATTCTGTGAATAACACCAGGGAGGGAAAATTGCTCACTCACACTGAAAATGCTTCATTTAAAAAAAAAAAAAAAAAAGAAAGAAAAAGAAAAAAAAAAAAAAAAACCACCACCTCTATCATTTCCAACCTCTAGCAATGGCACTCGCAACAGCTTTCCTACATACCAACACTTTCCCCCCCTCATGAAAGTCTCAGATGATGCTTTGTACCCAACAGCCATCAAACTCTGCCCACGTTTTCCCTCCTGCAAGTTTTACCCAGATCTGAAGCCATCACTGCACTGCTTGCAATGCTAGTGAGACAGTACCTTGTCTTCTCCAAACAGACACAAAAAACTGCATTTTCTCCCAATCTGAAGGCACATGAGCACCAACGAATGCTAACTGTGGTAACAGTCATGAGTTGTCACATGTGAGTGGTAAATAAAAAGGCTTTTCTGGAAGGAAAAAAAAAAAGAAAGGAAAAAAGGAAAAAAATAGCATTCATGGCTTTATATATACACTCTACCACACAGCTCCTCAGCAAGTTGCTCAAATGTTTTCTTTCCAAAGCATCTATTAAAAGGTTGGCAGTTCCCTCGTATCATACCTGAGACTCATCTCACATGGCAAACAGAAGTCTATGTGAAATGGATTAGCCCAGACAGTTTCCTTTGAAATGTAAGATAAAGGTCTAGAAGTTCTTCACAACCTTTTGCTTGCCAGCATTTGCAAGACAAAGCAGCAAAATATACCAGGATTCCTAAGCACGGCATGTGCTTCCAACCAGAGCTGTAGCATTCATTTCATACGTAGTTTTATGGGCACTCAACTTCAAGCAACAGGCATGAGCATCCTTCATCTCTGTAACGTTGCTTTGCCAACATCAATCCAAGCATGTAACCAGGTTTGGGGTAAATGCATGAGTCTAGAAGTAGGCTGCAAAAAAGCAGCAGTTTGAAGGGCTGGGGATGCTGCTGGAGGAGAAGCACTGCAATCCTATGCGAGCAAGCATCAGAGCTTAAATACACTGCAGTGCTTTGTTTTGTGAATTACACTCGCGTTTAAATATCTGGATGAAATTTGAGTGCCACCAGAGTCAAACTCATCTGCTCTGCAAGACACCACAGACCACGTGGAAGGACTCAGTCCTCTGTTCATCTATAGGTCATATCCGTCCATCCATAGCACCCATTCGAGCACAGGATCTCAAGCACAACATCAGACATGGACACAGAAATCCCTGCTAGCAGCTGCATCCTGATGACTCCAACCCTATGCAAAACACATGCAAAGGCTCCTCCTGCCCTCAGGTGACACAGGTTTACACCATTACTCATGCTGACAGCAACCCCAGAAGACACACCAAAAGCCAAGGAAAAGCCACCTGCCCACTCAATCTAGCTGCAGTATAGAAAGAAAGACAAAAGCAGCAAAAGTAAATTAGTTTTCTTGAAGTTCTTTCAATTTTCATAGAGCAGAATGCATTTATGGCACAGGCAGGGAATCAAAAGCCTTTATTTTTATCTTGATATTATTTACCCTTTCCCATTTTCTATTTAAATATCCCTGAACTCCCAGAAGAATCAGCAATTCAAAATACCATTTGATATATATTTATAAGCGAGGGGAAGCACAGACTCATTCATTTACAGCTTGCCTCCTCTTTTCCTTTTTTTTTTTTTTTTGTTCTGTTTTAATTAGATTTTAAGTGGTGTAACATCAATGTGCAAACTTCTGAAGATACGCAAGAATGACTTCTTGCTCCAGAACAGGCATCACAGGGAATCATAGAATCATTAAGGTCGAAAAAGGCCACTAAAATCATCCAGTCCAACCATCAAACAACCCTACCATGCCACTAAACTATACCCCTCAGTGCCACATCTATACATTTCTTAAACACCTCCATGGATTGTAACTCCATCATCCATGGTTAGTGAGCATGGTGGCGATGGGTTGATGGTTAGACTGGATGATTTCAGTGGTCTTTTCCAACCTTAATGATTCTGTGAGTCTATATAGCCCTGTATCATTCACACACTCCGCTTTCCACCCACAAATCTGGGCCACGAGCCAAGGACAGCACACAAATTTTGCTCTCAGCATCATTTGCAATCCTCTGAGCAAAGTAAAGGCCAACACTAGGAAGGTGCCAAACACACAAATTTCTAACATTAATCCTCAGGGCATCTCTGCAGTCACAAAAGAAGGTGCTTCAGCAACTTATCCAAGACGATGATGTCCAAATCTTCATGGTCCAGTGTCTCCACCACCCTTCATCAGGAACACGGGAGGCTCAGGCTCGGTATAAGGAAAAAGAAATTCACCAGAGGCGGTGGTGGTGGGCATGGAACATGCTCCCCAAAGCAGTGGACACAGTCCAAGAGCATTTGGACAACCCTCTCAGACACAGGGTTTGAATTTTGAGTGGTCCTGTTTGGAACCAGGAATTGAGCTCAGTGATTCTTGTGGGTCTCTTCCAATTTGGGATATTCTATATTTATATGATTATACAATACTATAAAATGCAAGGCAAAGGCTCCATGACCAAAAAGTTTCTCCAAGCTCATTTTAGATGCAAGTCAAGAGAAAGCAGGCAGGGAGATGTAACTGAGAAGCCAGGATTACAGAAGATGCACAATTACATTTACACTTGAGCTCAGTGTCTCCCACATCCTATATCTCCCACATTAGTGGCAGCTGTGCTTTTTATTTTCACTTGCATCAACAGACACAAGCAGAACAGCAAGGGAGTGAGCAGTGGATATTATTTCCTGCTTGCTTGATGTCTGGAGAAAGGGAACCAGTGCGTCATCAGCACCCTGGGAATGGCCAGAGACCAACCTAGAGATGAGTGGAAGGAGTTCTTTTTACACTAAGAGTGGTGAGTCACTGGACCAGGTTGCCCAGAGAACTGGTGGATGGCCCATGCCTGGAGACATTCAGGGTCAGGCTGGACAGAGCTCTGAGCAACCTGATGTAGCTGCAGGTGTACCTGTTCCCATTGCAGGGAAGAGATGACCTTCAGGGGTCCCTTCCAACTCAAACAATTCTATGATTCTGTTGGATGAATAAAGGAGACCATGCAACACCAATACCCCAACTCTATGCAACCCTACATTTCTACCCAACTTGATAAGCAAAATCTTGGGACTCCAATCCCACAGTGCACACGCGCCATCTCTGAGTTTGCAAACAAGGGGGTACTTGTATGGGAGCACAGAACACATGAGAACACGGCCTGAGCTGCAAATGTCACAATGCATTTAAAAAACAAACAGACCAAGCTTTCTCAGTGTACATTCCATGCATTTAAGGCACAAGAAAAACACAATTCCAGGTTGCAAAGCCTTCTGCTTTTTTGATATGCACACAAAGACACTTAAACACAGTTTCCCAAACGCTGTCCCATGTAGCTAGGACTAAATTTATCTTCATACAGTTTAAAGTACAAAGAGCAACAAAAAACGTCCAGTTGGCCAAGGACTACTGTAGAAGCGGTGCTTTCTCTGCTCAATGAAATGATTATTCTTCTTCCTGCATTTTCCCAAAAAAACATTTGTTTACAAGTCTGAGAATGACATTTCCATCCTAGCAGCTGATTCACAGCCACATGGGCTAAGAAAACAAAGAACACCCATGCCCAGAGGCTTCCTAAGATGCACTGGGTTTGCACGTGCCTTGGAGCCTAGTACCAGCTGAACCCGCTGCTGCCACTGAAGCATTCATGTCCCTCTTGGCATATATCCCTAAGCAAGGCCAGTCTTGTCCTCAAGTTGCTCAGAAGTGCAGAAACCCTATGCAAGACCAACATGTCTCTAGTTTGCATGTGCACACCCTGTGGAAGGTCAGCTCTTTTCCTGGAGCTTGCAAACATACAAACTCCATGCTACACATCCTGCTTTGCATATGCATGCCCCATAAAAGGCCAGTCCTCCCCTCCTAGGTTGCAAACACAAGCATAAACCCTGTGCCTGGCCAGTAAGTCTCTACTTTGCACATGCATGCCGTGTGCAAGGCATGCCCTGTGCAAGACAGGGCTGTACAAGGCCCCATGCAAGCCTCCAGTGCAATGCCAGCCATGCTCTCATCTTGCTAACACCCAAAATCCAGGCCATAAATGCTACTTTGTATATGCATGCCCCTGTGAAAAGCAAGTCTCAGACCTTATTTTCAACATGCAAACCCCACAGCTCCTCCCAGCTCACAAGCACTATAAATGTAAACTGTGTGGAAGGCCAGTAAGTCTCTAGCTTGCACGTGCAAACCTTCTGCAAGGCCAACCCTGCTCCAATGATGCAAACACACCAACTCTGCACAACAGGCCCCACTTTGCACATGCACACCCTCACCCATACAAGGCCATTCCTCCTCCTAGCTTGCAAACTCTAACATAAATCCTGCGCACGGCCAATAGGTCTCTAGCTTGCACATGCACGCCCCGTGCAAGGCCAGCCCCGCTCCCAGCTTGCAAACACACAAACGCTTCACAACAGAACCTACTTTGCACACGCAAGCCCCGTGCAGCACCAACCAGAGACCCTGCCGTGCACGTGCAAAAGCAAGCCAAAGACCTCACCTTGTGCATGCACGCTCCATGCAACGCTGGCCTTACTCCCAGGCTACAAACACACTCCCAAACCCCGTGCAAGGCCAACAACAGCCTATAATTACACATGCACTCCGCGTGCAAGGCCAGCTCCGCTCTCAAAAACACACCCCTGTGCAACGTGTGTCCCCACGCTGCACATCCCCATCCCGGCACGTCCTTACGTTATCCCCCCCCGCATCCCCCGCCGCCATCCCGGGGTCGCGCACACCCCCGGGGTGGGGAGGGGGCGGGGACAGCCCCGCTGCCGCGCGTGCCCCTCACCTGCCGCCGCGCGCCCGCGCCGTGCCGCCGGCACCCAAACATCACGTGATCGCGGGGCGCGGGGCCCCTCCCTGACCACGTGCTCGCCTCCGCCCACCGGAGTCCGCCACCGGCTCTCCCATAGCCCCTCAGGTGCCGCAGAGGACTGCAACTCCCAGCGGGCACAGCGAGGCGACGCCACGCCTCCTTCCCCCTGAGCGACCAATCAGAACGGAGCGTGGCAGGCACTTCTCGCTGTCCCGCCCACCGTCCCTCGGTGCCTCCCGCCCTCTCTCCCCGCAGCGGGTTTTGCATCAGAGCGCTGCGCTTGCAGCCTGCGCGCTATCCGAGCTACGAGCTGGCTTCGTTCTGTCACCGTCCTCTTCCACATTCTCCCAGCGTCCCTCCCGCGATTAAACAGGGCTTCCCCTGCAGCCTCCCGTCCTGCTGCTCTCCCTTTTTGCCTCAGTTCCTCGATATTCCTGTCTTCTGCCGTGCTTTGTTGCGCCTTCACCGTTACACTGTGCCACCTGGGCACACTGCTGGCTCGTATTCAGCCGACTGTCCGTCAGTACATCAAGGTCCCTTTTCCATCAGGCAGCTTTACTCCTCCCCAAGCCTGTAGGGTTGCCTGGGGTTGTTGTGACCAAAATACAGGACCTGACGCTTAGCCCTATTGAAACTCATGCAGTTTGCCTTGGCCCATCGACCCAGTCTATCCAGTCCCTCTGTAGTGCCTTTCTCCCCTCTGACAGATCAACACTCCCAACTTGGTGTCACCTGCCTGAGTCAACCCTCCTCCCACATCACACTGATGGGATAAGTGATAATGGCTTTAAGTTGCGCCAACAGAGATTTAGGTTGGATATTAGGATAAATTTCTACTCAGAATGAGTGATGGGGCATTGGAACAGGCTGCCCATTTGTGGTGTTCAAGAACAGCGTGGGTGAGGCATTGAGGGACATGGGCTGACGGTAGGACTACATGATCTTAGTGATCTTTTGCAACATTAATGATGCTACAACAGATCATTTTTTGGCCCAGAAAATAGCTCCAGCTCACACTGCACCTGTAAGGAATTGCTTTTTATTTGCTAAACGACAGCAGTTTTACTTAAGTGAGCTGGAAATGGTTGGCTTTGCAAAAGGAGTTATGAAGCAAGGATTTTCTTGATAAGGCCTTTAAATGACAATTCATTTTTACAGGGGGTTTACAAGCCAGCTGCCTTTTCAGAAATGTAATTCTGCACCAACAGCCTTGCCAAAAAAAGTTTTAAAAGGGTTGAGGGGCCACCTAAGCTTCCATAAACTTAAGGGTTTTCCAACACCAAACCATTATCCGAGCAATTTTTTTTTCTCCATCTTTTGCTGCATTGGTAAATCATTTACTTGTGTGGCCTCAAAAGAAAATCCTGAGGGAAAAGGGCTATAGAAAGGCACTGAGTATGAAATACAGCTGTCCTACCTGCCATCTGCAAAATCCTGACTGCACTTACATGTGCAACATATTTGGTTCTTGCTGGAGGAGTTAGTACTGAGCCACCGAGGAAGAGCAGGTTAATCCTACCGTAAGCAGTAATTGCAGTTTAAACCCAATGAAAATTCAGGATAGTCCAATAATTTGCAGTACAAGTCATACTTACTTTTGATGGGACCCTCGTGAAAGTAAATAAGAAAAATATATATAAATATGTGCTGATACAAGATAAAGATGAAATATTCTTGGGGAGAACAACCATAGCAATTACAGTAGGATGAAACTGTGCTTTGGTTTGCAGTCTCTACATCTTGCTTGTTTTGCATTTTGGAGAAATACTGCTTAATCAATAAGCGTGTTATTCATACAAAAGTAATACCACGTATCTCTCGGGATATTTTTTTTCCGAGGACTTTGGGCTTTGTGTGCAATCGTTTTGTGTGCATTAGGCTTGGTCCTTGTTATCACCACTTGCTTATTCATCTGTCGTTAATAGTTTTCATAGAATCACTAAATAGAATCGTAGAATAGTTTGAGTTGGAAAGGAACCCTTGGAGGTCATCTGCTCCCTTCAACTCAGAAAAAAAATTAACAGCTTTTTTTTCCATCCCATAGCAATAAGGGATTGACAGTGAGACTGTTATCCAGTTAGATGGCTGTGTCTTCAGGAATTCCTTCCGGTATGTGAAAGGTGTTTCCTTTTGACTCACAAGTTTGTTTTGTGAATCACCTTAAATCAGAACCTTTCCAGAGCTATACTATTAAGGCATTTGTAGAAAGGTTATCCTCATGTTCTCTGGATCACTTTTTCCTGGACTGTGTTTATTCAGTTTTGCTTTAATAATACCTCCTGGCTCTTAATCAACTGCCACTGTCATTTTTTTAATATCATCTGATGAGTTTCTTTGTTTGATGTATGATAAAGCAAGTCATGCTTTTATGAAAATGTTATCAAGGATTTAATAGAAAATGATAAATCTACAATGGCCAAATATCTTTGGGAATATTAAAAGAACAGTGTATCTTCTATTAAGTTATAATGTAAGAAAAACAGAGGAACAAATGTAAATTTTTGCTAGATCGTATTATATTCTTATATATAACCAGTAGGCTTTCATTCTCAATAAATTCTACATAGCTTCCTCACAGGCTGTGGGAGTACAAAGAATAACTTCCATGAAGAATAAGGAATTGGCATTTGGGTCTCCCAAGATATCATTTGTTTTGTGGTCCTAACGTTGCTTCTCATAAAATCAAAGCTACTATTAATTTTCTGTTGTTTTGGATTAGCTGAAAAATGTTGGTATGTGCAGGAAAAGAGAGAGTAATTAAATCTTATCACAGGAAGGCTTTAATTACTACTTAATTTATCGCATTCAACCACAGTTGTTGAGTCCTTCCCAATAGCCATATAAACTTGACAGCCAAAATGTCTACCACAGCATTAAAGGAAGAATTAGGAGCAACTTACTATAACAACATGAAGAACACACCCTAAATACTTGTCTGAGGTATGTACAAGTCGATTCCTCCAAACTTTAGAATAATCTAGGAACTATATTGTAGTATAGTTTTGTCATCCTCTCATGCCTAGGGAATCTTCCGCTCTTGTCCAAAAATGCTTCTTTTCAGAGGTTGCTTTCTCCATTTGCTCCAGCTTCTTAGCAGATCTCAAGGAGAAGCGTTCTCTTTTCTCCTCTTTCCAGACTACTGCCTCCCTTTGCTGTTATTTCTGCATTATCCACAGTACTTGTATAGGAATTATAGCTTTTCTGAAGACAACCAGACAAAATATAGCTGTGTTTCAGTACCACTTAACTTTTCAATCCTGGATTAATTGGACAATTGAACAGCTGAAAGTGTTGGTTTTTTACTTTGATAAAAATGCTGCTTTTCATTCAAATGTGTTATATACCAAACCAGTCAACTGCAAGAAGCACTGGAACAAATAGAATTTGGTCTGAATGTGGGTTTTCATTTTCCATTTTCAGAGCTCCATGACGGTGACCTGAGATTCCCTGAAAACAGTACAGCTCACAGAGCTTATCACAGTATATCTGTATGTTGTTACCTGTGAGCAATTTAATAAAAAAGATATTATAGCAATAATAAAAGGAGGCTGGAGAATGCCAACTAATCCCTGAACAGCCTCATTTCAGTCTATTTAAAGTCCAAGAGAGACTTGTATTCCAGGACCTAGCAGATTCTGGCATAAAACAGATGTTTTCATCAAGTACTGCAATGGCAGCAATACATGTCCCAAGCTGGTGACTATCTGGCAGGTCTGATACATCACAAGGAGGAATCACGAGCAGTAAGGAGTCTATTTTCAATACTTTGTACTGCATTCCTCTGTCGGTTACACCCAGGCATAAATGTGGATTTTAGTATTTTTATGCCTACATTTATCTTAGCTTCATTGGATTTAACTCTTCGTTTTCTAGAAACGTATTATTGTGTCAATATTAGCAAGAGACCGAAATGAAAATAAAAAGCTTTGTATGTGAAGCAGTGATAAGTCAATCGCCTCATCAGTAAAGCGTGTCCCATACTCCCAGTAATCCTGGTAATCATCTTTGTTTATGAAAGCCAGAAATATTAAACTGAACTCCTCACCACTCTGAGCAGGGATGATGAATGGCAATTTAAATTAGTGTTGACAGAGCTAAAGGAACACATGCTGAGTGCAACTGTCTTAACACCACAGAGAAGGAGCATAGCTAAACCAAGCTAGTGGGGAGCAAAACTGGGAACTAACTAATGAACTTCTGAACAAATCCCTCATCCTGTCTAACTCCTCTGATAGCCTGTTTGATGCTGGAAAAAAAAATAATAATAATAATCCATCCGAATATTTGTAAATATGGAGAAGGGAGTTTTACTTTTCACTTAAGAGTACTACCATCGCTGCTGCACCTGTATAATCTGAAGAAATGTTTAACCCATGTGATAAGCTGCAGTATGGGAGTTAGAAATCCAGCCTGCAAGGAGAGCATCACAGAAATGAAGGGAGATTTCAGGCGTCAAAGTCTTAGTACCTAGGTATGCCCCATAACATCCCATTATCCAGTGAGTAAATGAATTCCTCCCTTTTATCATGAGCCATATCCTTGTGAAACACCTAAGCACATCAAGGAAGCAGAACGTGGAACCCTGAAGTACAGGTATCTACACAGCCTGTTAGAAAATGGGAAAACTGCCTTTGTTTATTTGTATTCTCATTTAACCTACAAATACTTCATTTGCTGCCTGATTCTAAAACTGAATTCCTGCCACCAACATCAACTATTTATTTGGTTACTGCTATTAGAGCTGCAGATACCAGCACTACGTAGCCAAGAATCATTCTTTCTACCTGTGGTCTCATCCAGCTATTATGCAGAACTGTGTGTTAGAACTTGATTTCTAAAAGAGTGTTTCCAAGATAGAAAAGCTGAGCACAGTAGACTGTATAAGTCTTTTTATCTAAGTGACTGCTTCCAGTGCCTCGGTGAGCCCTTTTGAAACTTCATCAGCTCTCCTCCCTATGTTTGCAATATTGGCAATATCACTCTGCTTGGAAAAAAGGAAGCAAACATCGTCTGGAGATACAATGGTGCAAATGCACTTTTCCCAAAGTTTATTAGCACTTGGATAGAGTTCTGTTAAGCGCTC